ATATAAGAATAATTAATTTTATTCAATTTAAAGATTAGTGTATCTTCCATCTACTCTCGAATTGCTTAAAAGCCATACTGGTTAATTTTGTAGATTGAGAACCAAAGGAAATTTAAAATTTAAAATGTACATTGAGTATCATTCGATCTAAGAATAATTAATCTTGTTCAATTTAAATCAGTTTAAAGATATTAATCTTAATTTAAAACGTACGTTGAACACAATTCTTTTCCAATAATAAATACTTTAGCATAGAGCTGGCTAACTGGCGGCCCTTGCCCTACTTTCCCGATCGCTACCCCCTCTACTGCATCCTTCTCTCCACTACATTGAAATTTCCTTGCCGTGCATGAGCCCCCACTCTCTCATTCTGTTGATTTCCCTACTAAGCAAGTGGAGAGATCGATGCAGTGGAGGGGGTAGTGCTAGAGAACAGGAAAGTAGGGGCAAGGCCGCCAGTTAGCCAACTTTGTTTTAACAAACGAATGCTTCGTCTTCGTTCGTTAATAGGTACGAAACACTTATAAAAAATTCCGTGTCTACGTACAAACATTGCACCCGATCAACGTCAACTTAGACGTTATTGATATATCCGACGCTCGATGGAAAATCCCATCTCGAGTTCAGCGGGATCGCGAACAGGTACAGAGCCCGGTTTTCTTCTCTAAAACACTAACACCAAATGTACGTACGCACGATCAATTAACTGCTAGCTTAATTAAGAGTATTATACGGCTGCGAAGTCTTTAGATACGGAAGCATATACTTTGGACGTATGTACGACGCGAGCGTGTTACGCCAGTAGTTCTTTCGTCATTTGCGTTTACATTGCAACACACGTTCGAACTTGACCGAACTCTTGACCTCGAGTAACGACTGTACGAACTGACGGTCGATGCATCGCTGTGTGCTTTTGCTCGCGTCTCTGGCTTTATCCGTTCGATTATGAAACTATTGCGAGCTCGTGTTATGCATTTGAACGGTTATCATCGGTACACGGGAACGCGATCGATCGTTTCGAGATTACGAAATGTGTATGCGAGCGAGATCTTAGCCGATCTTAGCTCCTCTCCGATCGTTTATGAGCGTATGATGCCGCAGGTATATCGGGCCATAAGGCGAGAATGGAACGATTGTTGGGACTGCGTGTTGTTGTGCACGTTCAAGTATCGTGCAAGCCTCCGGAAGATTCGGAACACGTAATAATACAATTTGAATTTAAATCTGTATTTTAGCTTTCAGATACGATTTTAGAAATTGTATCCTATTTCTATCTGTTTGTATCGTTTGCGAGTTTCGATGAAAATTTTTCTTCCAATGATATATCATGGATCGTGAACATGTGTTGGTGTATGTTGCTGCTTGTAGGATTTTTGTGAAGAAATATTCTTACAGTTGGGGATTAAGGATTGTTTAAATGTAAGCGTGTCCAATTCTTTCTGATCGATTGAAAATGAAATTCCGTGTGAATTGCAGTTCCCTAACGTGACAACAGCTATACACAACGGCTTCTATTACTTCCCATTGCGTAATCCCCGCGACAGGGATATACCTACGTGTCGCATCGCTCAGCTATCGATTCTGATTACCTTCTATCATACTATCAGCTATCTTCTATCATACTATATAGTGTTCACTAGTTACGAATACTACGAGATGCACGACGACAATCGTTTACTTTAGCCATCGATCGCGTATCTTTGATAAGAAGAAAACCCACCCCTAGCCACCGCGAGTCGTCGAACGTGTTGTAAATTAACCAGTAAAAACTATGAAAAAAGAAAGGAACAGATTTTTCGCTTTTTACTCATTGTGTAAATATTCGAAACATCGGGTGATATTCATTCGTCGCGTTTCCTCGGCCATGCGAATGTAAATAGAAGTTCGTTGAGTCACGGGATTTCGAGATATTCATATTCTCTCGCACGCGGAGAATAGAACGGAAGGAAGCGCGTGTAATGGTATTGTCACGTCATTTGACGTGATATCGACATTCGCGTTTTCAGGCTCTGCCAAACGGAATGCGGTACGTTGTAAAATGCGGAGCAAGGGGAGCAGGTGATCGACGAGAATTTTACCCCCGTGTTACGTTGAAGAATTTCGAAACAGATTCGAAATTGCACAACTCTCAGGCAGATCGTGAACGTAGTTACTTCGCGAAGATGTGTTCAATCACGTGGTAGAATAGAAACAGAGTTCATAAAACCTGTATTTCAACAGTTAAAAAAAAAAAAAAATTGAAATCTTCAGATGTTCTGAATTGTGAATCGAGAGTGTTTTATTTTAGAGAATTATTCTTCCGTCTTGAAATTTCAGGTTCGTCAGATTATTGTTTCAAATTTCTTCTTGTTCATATTTCAACATTGAATTACAATAACAAACAACGAAATCTGACATATAATTGCTATTTTACGAGTCAATCAACTGTCAAAAAAAAAAAAAAAAGAAAAAGAAATCTATGTTTCCAGAAATTCTCTAAAAGCGATACATATATGTAATTGGTTTTCCCGTCTTTCAATTACGCGTTATTATTAATTGAAATGCCAATTTCCAGAGCAAATGCCACTGTAGTTGAAATTACATCAACGGTGCTTTTTATTGGTTTTCGAGGTGATCGATAAATGGTCGGGCACGAAGCGCGGAATTCGTGTCTCCCAGGCGAAACTATCGTCGATCACACAAATATCGTGTCGTGTTCCTCCCCGTGAATACGCCCGCGAATCGAAATACCGATGACCGATGGATCGATTCTCTCTTCCGCTTCTATTCGTTCCTTCTCCTCGGAAGCGATTGATTTCGATGTGCACGAGATGAACGAGATCTTTCTCTACTCCTCTTCTCAGCCGTGCCTGCGCGATTTGCTTGCCACCCTCTCTTATCGACATCGTTTTTTCTTTTCCCTCGATGACCCACCCCTAACGTTCTACGAGTTCTAGCATTCAGCGCGCACCTTTCGCTTGGAAATTTGTGCGATTTAATTCGGAAGAAGTAGTTGCCCGTTGGTCGGTTCTAGGTATTTCTAGGGTATTTTAATTCTTTTGTTGAATTAATTCTGGAGCGTGTAAATGCGTTGGAGTTAGTAGTTTCTTAAATGCTACGTTCGATGGTTGTTTGTAACAGTGTTCTAACAGAATTGCACGATTTCGAAAAAAACAGAAAAACGTATACGATTTGCTGAATATTTGGAAATTAAAAGATTTCAGCAATTTTATGCAATTTTTGTAACGAAGAGCTCAAGTAAAGGGAAAGTAGTACAATTCTGTTAAACAAAGGAGGTTTATCAAACCGATATTTTTAGATACAGTAGAATTTCCGTAACCACCATCGTATAAGATGAAGATGTATCGATAGATTGGAGTTTCGTGACTCGTAAACTACTTATGGCAGCAAACGCTACAGGTATCGCAGGATAGCCTTCTGCCTTTTGTCGTGCGATTCCGATACCTTTCGACTGTGCAAAGATTGCACAGTGTTTCACACACTTTTGTTTTGTTTTTACGCGCGCTATGTCATACCACGCGTGCATGGATGCGGGCAAAAAAAGCCACGAAAGAAGTATCGTGAATGGAGACACGCGTAAACGTCCGAGCGTGACTTTGTCCATTCACGTGAGAACTTATGAAAGACTACTATCGTTTCCCTGCGAATATGTGTCGTGGAAACAGTAATTGACCGAATAATACTTAGCCCATTATTCTCGCGAATTCCCTCGTCAGACCGCGCAGGCACGCGGCTCTCCTATCTATTATTACTACCTTAAAGCGTATCGATTATTCAAGCACCATCTAATTATTCCTAATGTATCTATTTTAATTAAATAAGCCTCGTATTATTTTAGCGTTCGATGCTCCCGTCACTCTGCGATTATTTATTCTTGTTGTTATCACTAACAATTGATCTCGAAATTGATCGAATCGTCGATTCACGATCACCGATCTGCTTTTTTTTTTCTTTCTTTTTCTAATAGATCCTCGTGCACTTGAAGATTCTCGTCATCTACAAGTACGTGTATTGCTTGGCCAAGCGTCAGTGACGTTGCACTTGCTGAATTGACTAGTACCATCGTTCATTATGTCGTTCGTTTACTGAATCGTGTTCGTGATGCAGTTTTGCGCGTCAAATTCGTGGTCCTATACTTTCGCGATTGACGCGAAAACAGACCACGAGGAGACGTGATCCACGTCCGGCAAAGCTTCACTTTTCCTTCTCTTTTGCATTATAGTATTATAGTATCGTAGTACGTTTAGTATTGACTGGATGCGCCATGACTGGATGGCGCCGTAGATATTACGGTTACGCTTAACGCACGGAATCGCTTAAATTCGTAGGTTGCTTCGTTTTGCAGTCCATTTGTACGCGTACAGCGTACTCGACACTCGCTGGTGAAAAAAGAAGCCATGAATCACGCGCTGATGTAATAATTGTATCGAATGATGACTGAACTGGTAAAATAGTTTCAAGAAAATGGTGTGTTTTCTTGCTGATAGAAATCGGGTGACACGAGTTCGCGATCGTGTCGTATTTCGTTCGATTTTCTAGGTTCTTCTAGCTAGATCGTGGCTGATAATGATGTAGAAAAATTAATACTTGCAGGTCCTGAACTCGTGTCACTCGGCTAACTGTCTCGGTTAACTCTGTGCAGGATGTTAAAGGAAACTCTCTGATATGTTTTCAGGACGAAAAAAGTACGTAATACCTTGATTAAAAAGTGTCGAACCAAACTAAGGTTGTCACTAGCCAGAATACAGACAAATAGTGTCAATTTACTGCAACGAATGAAATCATTACAAAAATATTATCAACAATCTAAATTATCCTTCGTCAGTTGTTAACATCCTACACGTGGAACATACTGAAAAACCTACCACTACTACTGCTAGAATCCAACGTAACCCAATCGTTACATTAAACCATTGTTGCTCGAACATATTCCACACTTAACTCTACGATTTGACCCAATCTCCGAATCTCGAGTACGCCTTACAGAGGTTTTCGTGTCCTCACTTTATCATGATACTCACTGCTGTGGGTCCTTGAGAAATACTGGTCTCCTTGGAGGCCTCCTCGATTTCCTTCAACTTCTCCTCTGCCTTTCTCTCCTTCAACGCTTTCAGAAGCTTCCATTTCGATCCAGGCGGACCAGGACTCACCTGGCCTTCCTTTAACGTCGTGTCCGAGCTGCCGCAGGTCGACGAATCGATTTTGATCTTCGGCAAGCTCAAGGTAGCCGTGGTGGCCGTCTCGGCGCTACCAGCTCCGTCGCGCTCCATGCCTTCGAGTACTGTACTCTCAGAGTCACAAGCACCCGGGATGCTGACGGAGACCTCGCTAGGCGGCACGCTTACGCTACCTTCGCGAGAGATCGATTCCGAACCAGGGTGGACCTTCTCACCGTGTCGAAAGGTCGAGCCGCTCGAGCTGCGTCTCGATGGCTGTTCGTCCGCATCTTTCGGCAGTTCCTCCTCTTCCTCTTCGTCCATCGACTGCACGGGACTGTCGGGACCGGAAGTCTCCCCCGAGGAGCCTTCTTCCATTGACGAGGGCGTTTTCTCTTTCTTCGCTTCCTCCTCGTGCGCCCAAGTGTGATAGTCAGTCACCCTCGCGAATACCGCTTCGACACTCTCCGCGGATTTCCGTTTTGGGATCGGTTTCTCGTCCCGATACCTGTCTCGCTCGTCGATTCGACGATCCTTCGCCACCGTCCCGTTGATCTTACTACTCGCTCCTCGTGCCTCCTCGCCCTTCTCCTCCATCGCCTGCTCCTTCGATATAGTGCTGGCCTTCATTTTCAACTCTTTCAAGACGAACGACATCTTATGCTTCACCGTTTCATCCGGTTGATAGTGATCAGCCTCCTCCGGCTCTTCCACCAGCACTTCGCCCATCTCTATCTCTATCTGCGATTGCCTCTCGAGTTCCTCGAGCTTCCTCAGCTCGTACCGGTACCACTCGTCCTCGGAGTCGATCGAGTCCTCCGTACTTTGCCGCCTGGAGGAGACCCTCGACGTGCTCCGATAGGAATGCGTGCTACGGTTGTCCTCGTCCAGTTCGCCCGGTCTCGAGCCGGTCCACGGAATCTCGAGGGACTGCTGATGCCGCGGCAGGAATCGACTGCCTGACATTTGCCCTCTCGTGCTTGACGCGGATGGGCTTCCTTCCGACGGCGGGGCCTCCTCCGATATGCTGGTCACCAGTTCCGGCAGTCTGGTGCTGCTAGACTTCTCGCTCTTCTCGCTCTTCTCCGACATGTCTTCCGGGTACTCGAAGCTCGTCTCGAGAGTTTGGATGGTGCCCTCGTCGGACTTCTTCTCGGTGCTGCCCTCCTCGCTGGGAGGCTGTTCGTCCGAGACCGTGGAAGATTGTCTCTGGCGGTACTTGCCCAGTGCCCTGGACACCGCGAATTCCATGCTCGCACCACCCATCAGAGTCACCGGCGGGAGTTTCGGAGCTTTTTCGTTAGGAGCTTCGTCCGAGCTGCCGGTGGATCGTTTGATATCTCCGACAGTTTGAAATATCGACGAGCCACCAGAGCCGGAACCTGTGCTCTTCCCAGACGTTTCTTCCTCGAAGCCACCGATCTGTTCGGACATCTCGCGATCCACCTCTTTCTTCTGATCCTTTTCTTTGGCCCAACCATCTTGAAACGCTTGCTGCTGTAATTGCTCTTGGTGCTGCTGAATCTGCTGTTGAAGGGCTTGTTGTTGCTGCTGCAGATTCTGTTGCTGCTGTTGTTGTTGTTGTTGTTGTTGTTGTTGTTGTTGTTGCTGCTGCTGCTGCTGCTGCTGCTGTATATAATCTTTTTGTTGCAAAGGTAATGGCTGAGCGATAGATTGCTGCTGCTGTGGAATCGGCTGAGGTGCCTGTTTGCGCTTCGTGCTAGCTGTTTTCACCTTGGCAAAGAAAGGAGATTCTTGATTTACGTCCGACATCACGCTGTCCTCGTCCTCCGACAGGCCACTCTGTCTTCCACTGCTCCATTCGGTTTCCGATTGTTCGGGATCCGACAGGGATTGAGACTGATGACTTCGTCTCTTGGCTTTCTGAAGGATCCCCGACACGGTAGACACCAGCGTGTGTTTCTTCTTCTTCCTGGCTGTCTGACCACGTCCACGACCTCTAGCCATACTCGCTTCCTGCGGCAGCCTCTGCTGTTGCTCCTGAGACATGTCCAAGTCTTCCCTTCTCACTCCGCCGGGTAACGAGTGACTTCTGTGCCTCTTGCTCAGGTGCAGATCAGGCAACCAGTTGCTCATCGAGCTCATTGCGTTTTTCAACGACGAGCCGCGTCTCATCTTCTTGCCAGCTTTCGCGTTCTCTATCTCGTGGTCCTTCAAGTTCGAGGCGATGCTGATATACCCCGATTGAGACACTATCACGCTCGATGCGTCGTAGTATTCGCCCTGCTGATGTTGCGCCTGATCGATAGGCATTCTGCCTGTTTCGTGATCCTGAATGTATTGATGCTCCCGTTGCCATTGTCTCTGGTATCCATCAGTGAGTTGTGCGCTTTCGGTGCTGGTCAGTCTTTGACTGTACGGCTGGTACTGCTGTTGATAGGCTTGCGGGTAATTTTGATTCGCGTACGTGTGATGATACTGATGGGCTTGGTACGCCGGTGGTTGAGGATACCTTCTGTCGGTGTATGGACTCTGGGCGTAGACACTACCGTCCGAAGTTAGCGATCTAATGCTGGAGGAAGTCGAGTCGTGGGGAATCTGATCCTCCATCGAGTTCAACCACGAAGTCTCGTTCGTCTCGGTTCGTGGCAGATTCGCGCTGGTCGGGTAATACGACAACGCGTCCGTGATGTTGCCGGTGGGGAACATTGTGCGATACATCGCGGCTTTGTACCCTTCGTGGTTCGTCATTCCGTCCGTGTACGCGCTGGCTCTCAAAGGTTTCTTCAGATGAGCCGCCACGGCGCTCGATTCCGTATACTGGATAGCCGTGTAATTGTCCTGATAGCTGTTATATTGATCCACTGCGTCCGGGTAGTAAGCGGTGGTGGTGGTTTTCGGACCATAGCCACCGGCGCTGCTGGTATAAACACTCGTGATGGCTTGTTGTCGATTGCTCCCAGCCACGGAGTAAATGGCCGGTTGCTCGGACCTGTACGCGTAGTCGGTAATTCCAGGCGCCACGGTATCGTAGGTGTGCTGCAAAACTTGCTGGCGACTTCGTTTCTTTGGACTCTGACAGGTGGTTGCGATAGGTGCTGGAGGAGACACGAAGCTGTAGTCTTCCTTGGTCGTCGGTGTCTTTATCGACGTGTAGCCGGACAGATGGTTCATAGCCGCGGTGTAGGAGTGGCTGGTGACGGTGAATGTGACCGTAGTGGTGCTCGCGAAAGCGTCCCTCCCTTCCGGCGTGTCGTACAGCGGCTCCTGCGTGATGACGGAGGTTGTCGTTTCCGGAAGAGGCGGGATCGGACTGGCAGATCTGACGGTCGTTGTACTTGGGATTAGAGTCGCTCTGGCGTGATCTACCGTGTACGAAGTGAGCATCTTGGCGATCGAGCTCTTCGGAGAGCTCGGCGATTTGTCCAAGCTGCTCCATCCGCTCATGGAAGATAGGCCGGAGTCAGATTTGGCTGCGACGATGTTGGCCACGCTCGGCTTGGCTGTGTGCTTAGGCGAGACTCGCGGCGACTTAGGCGAATGAGGGGTCCGTGGGCTTAGACGACCTTGTTCCAAGGGGACAAGCTTCTCCGCACTTCTCAAGAACGTGGGACTCTGTGGTCGTTTCGTCTCGGGTTCTCTCTTATCGGGCCCTGGCATGAGGAACGGCTCGGTCGAGTCCTGAGGAGCTGGCGGCGGTGGCGAGCTGGGCGACGGACTCGGGGGCGTTCTACTTTCTTGGAACTCTAAATTCAGTCGAGCAGCGCTGTCGAAATAGCCGTCCTGCCTGGTTCGAAGACTCTGCACACTATGGACGCTATGGACGCTCCCCGCTGAGTGAGTGGGAGATGGGACTTTGTCGGTGGTGGTGCTGTAAATGGTGGGCGAGGCGCAGGTGACAGCCGCGAAGCTCTCGACCATGAGATCGGTCAGTTCTTTGTTTTCCGCGTAGCCTTTGGCGAAGCTGCCGACGTCGATGGGCAATTGGATCACTGGCTCCGGACTCTTCTCGCGTACAGTCGTTGCGTAGGTACCTAACCTGGGAGGTGTGTAGGTACTCGAAATGGAATCCAAGTTCGTTCTGGACGTGGACGTCAGTCTTGGCGAAATTGACCTGGTAGTGAAGTCACCGTCGGTGGCTAGACCGCTGTCGGTGCTGACTCTGGAGATCGATCGACCGGTTGAACCGGGACTTTTCGAGAATGTCCAACTGTCAACGTCGGTTTCCGCGTAAATCTTTCTCAGCTGCTCGTCTATGCTGCTCGCCTCCTCCGCTAGCTTCGCTTCGGCCTCGGAACTGTACTGCCTCTTCGGAGAGTCCATTAGCTTCGACTGCAGTTCTATCAGGTTCTGCGAATCCTTTTGCAATTTATTGGTCAACCGATCCAGCTCGTGCAGTTTCTCCAGAGCGACCTGATCGATGGAACTGAGTCTGGAGAGCTGAGCGAGGTCCTGTTCGCTGACGCAGGGCGTGTTCCCTCGGTAACTTTTGTAATCAGCCGCGCTGAACACCTCACCCTCGTCCTCGTCTGCCTCGTCTTCCTTTTTTGTCACCGCTTCTTGAATCTCCTCATTTATCGGTTTCGTCGCCAGTTCCTCGAGCTCCTTCTCCTTGGTCATGGTCTTGTCGAACATGTTCCTCTCCTCCATCTCTTTCTTGCCATTCACGTCCTCGTCCTCCGCCTCTTCCCAGATCATGCCCAGCTGCGACGTCGGCCTCGACGTGTCGCCGCAGATCAAGTCCTCCCTGTACGCGTTGTTCAGGCTCCTGTAGAACGCCTCGTCCGGGATGTTGCTCTCTTCCGCGAGAGTTTCCAGTGTGTCCAAGTTCCTCACGTTTCTGTGCATGTCGGTGACCACCGCGGCAGCGGTCGAACTGTCCTGCGTCAGCCCGTGCATCCTCGCGATCTCCTGCTGCGCTAGTTTCTCTCTGATCGCGTTCGTCTCCTCGATACCCATCGTGGCGCCTATGCTCTTCGCGATCGCGTCCAGCTCGCTGACGGTGCTCTGTTGATTGGCCAACGTCTCCTCCACCACCACGTTGCTGGTCTCGTGAGTGCCACCATTCGCGTAGAATTCGATCAATTGACTGATCACCGTTTGTTGCTCGTACAGCAGGCCCTCTAGCTTCTCGAGCCTCTCCCACATCTTGATGTACTCCTGACTAAGCAGATCCAACGCCCTCCAGGCATACCTCAGCTCGTTCTCCAATGTGTTCAGCCTCGTGCCGAGTCTCTCCATGTAATCTCCGATTATGTAGTCGATGTTCCCGTCCGTGCTGGTGGCATTGTAGGCCGGTAGGGCTGGCGAGTGAGCCCTTGGACTGGTTGGCGCTGGCCCACCCAACTTCGTCGAGTCCATTTTCATCAAGTTTCTGTTTGCGAATACGACTTGCAGTACGTCGAGTCGATCGTGTGTCCCTGTTTAAACTTCCACGATCCTCCAAGTACGATATTTAGGCTGTCGATGATACCTCATTGTGCGACTCGAACGAAAAACGCGACTTACAGCGTTCCCCGTGGCTTGGGAAGCAACTTGGCGGACGTTTCGACGTATCCAACGGAGACGTCCGACGCGATGAAACCACGGTAATTCGACGCACTGTGCACGTTGTCGATCTCCATGTCGATTGTCCTCTTTCTTTCTTTCTTTTTAACTTTGTTCACTTTTTCACACGTGATTCGATCGAACCAAAAACACTTTGATCCGTTCACTCGCTGCGTCACGCGTTTATATTTATATTTATATGTATATTTATGTATATATATATATCGTCTCACTCTTGTCCTTCGGTCCTCTGTTCTCTGTTCAACTCTGTTCTTCCGTTACACTAAAGCTGCGTACACAAAGTTTGATCGTTGTCGGGCGCGATCTTGACGAATCGTTCGAGATCGCGCGACACTCTGCAAATGGCACTTCGTAACCAGTCTCGTGGGTTCATGCCGCTGCTGCTATCTGCAAAACAGGAGCAAACGGGTTGCCGTGGCTTAGTACGAGACGCGCTCGTACCGAGCCACCGCTGACACAGTTTCCATGGTGCTAGAGTTATCCTAACTCGTAAAAAGTACGTTAATGCTTGTTAAAGGGGACAAGAACTTCGATCAGAAAGGTCCACGGGACATTGGCTTATTTCTTACGGCATTGAATCGATATGCGTCACGTCCGACTCGCTTCTCTCCGTGACGTGCTTGTCCACAAAGTGAACGAGAGATCGAGTAAAACGTGAATATGAATGATATTATAAAGTCTGAATAACTGAAAAACACTGGAGGAATGAAAAAAAGAAAAAGAAGATTTCTTTCGTGTTATTTTACTAAATAAATCAATGCAGAAAATGTGAAAAGATACGTGACTTCGTCAGATTGCCAGAGCAGGAACCTTCCTTTCCAAATTGATTTTCAATTGCCACTTCGACTTCGAGTTCCTTAATTAATAAATAAGTCAACCCGGATAATATCTCGAGGGCATTAATATTCGCGGTGTAGCATCTGTTCTATTTTTTTTTTTTTTTTTTTTTGTTCGACGAAACTTCAGCTTTAAATATCACTGTCAGTTTCAGCCACGCGATAGGTTGCGTGAAGTTGTTCGGTTGTTAGGGATTTGTTGCTGGGAAATCTGAAATCAGGGCGACGAGATATTGTTGGCGGAAAACATGAATCAGAGAGGCCATTAGTCGCGTGCCCAGGTGTTTCGTGTATAATCAAAGCGTACATCGAAAAAGGCGTGCGCGAAGTAATTGCTGCAGCTAGATGATCGATGATCGCGTTGATTTCACCTTGTGATTGGAAACGAGCAATGGACCAAGGATATTCTCCGTAGAATTCTGCAGTGAAGTTCGAGAATTTTCTTGTCCGCTCGATAAGAATTACGAGTATCGTGAATAACGATCAACAACGATGGTAGAAAATTTTGAGATTAATTTGCTCGAGGTTTTGTTCGAAGAGAGCATCACGTTACGTGATGTAATTTTTCATAGAAATTTCAATAACTGATAAATTCGATCGGGATTAAATTCTTCAATTGATTTTAATTATCAATAGATTTTTATCGGGATTAAATTCTTTATTAAAATTATTTTATTCCCTTTCGTTTAATTTTATTTTATGAATATTTCGTCAACCTTTCAATTTCGTTAATCATAATCAGATCAGATTCATAATCCTGTACAGAAATTGTACTCAGAAATTTTAATTTCTACGTTCGAAATTCTGTACATACCGTAGTGATTGTTGGGAAGCTTAGTATGTAATTCGTTCACCCCCATCACATTTGCAATTTGCTTTATTGACACTCGGATCGTTACACTATCTAAGCAGAGTTCGCTTGCACGTATCTATCGATCTCCGCTGTTGCATTATTCCAGCGATCTCTGTTCATTATAAGCCACGTGTTCTAATCAACAACAACGAAGACTCGAGCTGCGCGAGATTCTCTGGCGTGTCACGCAAGATCGATCGATCTCAGACAACACCGAGGAACCGAAGTTTCGATTAATTAGGAAATATTCTGTTCCGTTGGCCAAGATGCGATTTAAAAAGAAAAACCACGTTGACGTGCGACACGGTGAATGACATTTTGTGCTGTTGTCGCCGAAACGATGAATCAGCTGACGCGCGAGTGTGCGATTTTTCATTCTGTGTAACTTTCGGAAGAGACACTCCTTTTTATGATGGTCGTAGAATCGCGTTTATGATGTGTAGAGTAAAAATACAAGTTTCATGAGCTTACGACGAGCTCACAACGTTTACACGGAACTTTCAAGTTTCACGTAAGATTTAATTATTTCCACCTTGATACGCGATCTACAAATTCAGTACTTGCGTTCGATTCTAAGTTTCATACGACAGTTAATGATTTTGTTATGCTAGTAACAGTGATTTTAGGTTCTGAGATCCTTTCTTGGCAAGCATTCAAGTCTTTCTTCACAATTATCCTTAGAGTCTTAGTTGTGACACTAAGTTCAGTTATTACAGACAGTAATTTGTCATATCCTTTGTCATTTTTATCAATTGTCATTCTATCATCACAGCTAATGCGCCAGAAATTAGTTATATTAATATTTGTTCAGATATAAAGCAATCTACATGGAGACATAAAAATACACGCGATCTAGATTTTCCTCCATGTTCTCTGTTCTTTTTTTTCTTTTTTACAATTTTATCTTCACATGTTGTCACCAGACGAC